TGTTGGCGTGCAACCGGCCGTGCCCGCGCGGTGCTCCAGCTGCTGGCACACCACAGAGCATCCCTGCCCACCAGGAGGGGCCGAGGGACCCCTGCACGGGATGGCCCATGCTGGGATGTTGTCCCCCCAGCCCTGGGCAGCTGAGCAGGGCAGGAGTGTGTGCAGCAGAGATGCCCTGGGGCTCTTTGGAAAGATGGCATTGCACGTGCCCGTGGGGTTTAGCTGATGCCCACCATCCCACCCTGTCCCAGCTCCCCGGGGTCCTGTGTCCCAACAGTGATTTCTGCTTCTCAGAGGAGCCAGCTCGAAGAGGAACTGAGCTACAACTGCTGCCTTTCAGTCCCTGGGTGCCCCACTGCTGCTGCAGCCCCTGCAGCCTCTTTCGGTCTCTGTGCTTCTCCAGCGACGCTCCTGCGCTGCAGCCATGGCAGGCAGCAGCTCCATCTTCCCCAGAGCCACCACATCCCATTTTTCATTCGGCAGTTAGGGTACCTGACCCCTTCCCATGAGTCAGACCCCTGGCCATCGCGGCACCCCACCACACTCTCCGGGGTCCTTCCAGGGGGGATTTTTGCAGAGGGAAAAGAGGCCGGTGAGTTCGCTCCTCCAGCTGTGGCAATTCGGGCACGGCAGGTACAAGGACCCATTCACAGGCTCCCAACCCAGGCCCAGGCAGATGACAAGTATCTCAGGGCAGGAGAGCACCCCCAAGGCACCTTCAGACTGATGCTCAGTCCCTGATCACCCCTCTGGGCACTTATCACCTCCCCTTTCCCTCTTCCCCTGCCCCTCTCCCCCTTCCCCAGATGGGGCAGGAGGGGTCAGGGTCCTGCCAGGGATCTCCACGACCTCCAGCCCCACAGCCCCTTCTCCTTTCTGGCTCCAGATCACAGAGAAGCGCCAGTGTCCCCTCCTGCCCGTGCTGGGACAGTGCCCTCCTCTTTCATCTCCTCAGAGCCTGCTCACTCAGAGATTGAGGCAACTGAAGCGAAAAAAAGCCTGTTTGCAAGCCCCTTCACAGCACTCATCTTCACATGGCTTTAATTAAAACAGAAACATGGTTTAAACCCGGGGTCCCGCATGGGGCTCCAGTTCCACCCTTCCCTGCTGCTGTGTCCTGCTGCCCTCACCCATGCAAGACCCCCACCAGCAGGCACCTAACACCCTGCCGTCTGCGTCCCCAGCCCCGTCCCAGGTGGTGGTGGTCCGCCAGGAGAGCACGGGCCAGAACAGCGTCACCTTGCTGTGGCAAGAGCCAGACCAGCCCAACGGCATCATCCTGGAGTACGAGATCAAGTACTACGAGAAGGTAACGCTGAGCTTGCTGCCGCAAACCGGTCCCAACATGGTGGATTTAGACAGGGGCATGGCCCGGTTTAAATCCTGCTGGTGCAATTGCTGCTATCAGCCAGCCTTGCACAAGGGACTATTTTGGAAGACTTTGATGTTGCTGTGCTGACGCAGCAAGGTTTTTGGTGTTGCTTTTTCCCAGGACAAGGAAATGCAGAGCTATTCAACTCTGAAATCCAAGGGCACCACTGCCACCATCTCTGGGCTCAAGCCTGCAACCCGCTACATTTTCCAGGTTCGGGCTCGGACTTCTGCTGGCTGCGGGAGGTTCAGTCAGACCGTAGAAGTGGAAACGGGGAAGCCAGGTGAGTGTGTGCAGTTGTGGGATGTGGGAAGTGTGGGGCAGGGAGCAAAGGGAATGGCGAACCCTTGTCCACGGCGATTGTGCCTCTGCCACCCAGGGAAGAGAGGCTGGAGGCACATCTCCTGGGGTTTCAGCCTGCAGGGCTTGCTTGAGGTTGCCCTCCTGAGATGTGTTTATACATTTGAAAGAAGAGGGAGGAAGGACGTAGCAGGTAGGGCAGGGAAGACCTGGTGAGGTCCTGAGGCTCCAGACTCCTCTCTGCACTGGTTTGCTGTATCCCTATGACTTTCCCAGATCTGTGCTTGGTTTCACTATGTGTAAATGGTCCCTGTACACTGGGAGAGCCCCAAAGATGGGGCTGGATGGGGAATGGTGCTTTATCTTTGAAGAAGACCCCAGTGGGGTAGGTGAGTTTCCGAGCACAGCAGAGTGCTCCTCACTCCAGCTCGCCTCCCTCCTACCCTGCTTCTTCCAGTCTCTCTCCGGTACGACACGATGACGATTGTCTGGATCTGCCTGACACTCATCACTGGCCTCGTCGCGTTGCTGGTGGTCCTAATCTGCAAGAAGAGGTAGGTGTTTTCTGGAGGTCAGTGTGGTTTGTCACCAAGCAGGGCAGGAGGGATGGGAGAACTTGGGCGCAACTTTTCTCCTCTCAGTTTGTCCAGAGCATCCATAGGTCAGGGGTTGATAAGCAACCAAGAGACTTCGTTTAGGGATCACCCTGCCTCCACTTTCCCTGAGACAGAGCCAGTCTCCAAACCTTCCCCTCATGGCAGCAGGCTGAATAGCAGTAGCAGTAGCAGTAACAACAGCGATAGCAATAACCATAGCCATGGCAATACCACTACCAGTACCACTACCAGTTTGAGGGCTGACCGGATGAGCTAGGGGGTAGGTCAGGAGTGGAGAGAGTTCTTCTCCATCAGAAAGGTCCAAGGGGGACTGTGTCTGCCACATCTCAGCATGGCTGAGCCAGGCACGTGGAGCACACATGCTGCTACCCCGAGGAGACATAAAGGGCTGCAGCTTTTAGCACTGCCAAGCCTCGGAGAGCACCTGGAAAGCACCTTGCTCCAGGCCAAAGTGTCAGCTCAGCAAGACGCAGGGATGCAGCTGGTGGAGGGTCAAGCGTTAGCTCCAGCTCCTCCTGGGCTGCCTACAGCCCTGGCATGCACTGCCTTCCACATTGCCTTTGGGCTTCTTGTGGGAGCGAGGGGCAGGAGCACCTCTTCTGACCCTTGTGTCCCTGTGGCAGGCACTGCGGGTACAGCAAAGCTTTCCAGGACTCCGACGAGGAGAAGATGCATTATCAGAACGGGCAAGGTAGGACCCTCCCTGCTGCTGCCCCTGGGATGTGAAGGACCTCAGCCCTGTGGATGGGCAGGGACCTGGACCGTTACCCTCTGGCACTGCTGTGGTTTCCAGGGGAAAGGGTTTTGACCACTGCCTGCTTCTGGGGATGTGTCTAGGAGAGCTGAGCGGGGGTTCTGATCCCAGGGGCTTATGGTAATGGGGTTGAAGGGCTGCACAGTGTGAGATGGGACTGCAGCACATTCATCCCAGACAGCAGCAGGCCAGAAGAGTGGAAAATTCATCACAGGTGAGGGGTGAGGGGTAGGGGGTGATGGAGAGGGACAATCACAGAAAGGACACCTGGGCAGCCAGGTCCTGGATTGCTCCGAGAACACTGCTATGCCAAAGAGTGCCTTGGGTTTTCTTGGGGCTGCAACCTCTGTGGCTCCTCAGCATGTCAACCCAAGAAGTCCTGCCCCTGCCCATCCTCTGCCTGGCTGCTGGGGGCCCCTACTTCTCAGCAGGGCTGCCTGAAAGAGCTTATCTCCTCCCTCCCCTTTGAAACCTGGCAGTGAAGTTCCCCGAGTCAAAGTTCTACGTGGACCCACACGCGTATGAGGACCCCTGCCAAGCCGTGCACGAGTTCACCCGTGAAATCGAGGCCTCCCGGATCAAGATCGAGAAGGTCATCGGGTCCGGTGAGTCCCCAGGCATGAAATAAACTCTTTGGAGGCAGCCTAGCACAGAGGGTTGCTATTCACTGGCAGCTCAGGCTGACACAGCAGATGGCTCAGCCTGTCCCACATGCTCCAACGTGGCCACCCTGCTTTCAAACCTCAGAGCAAGCATCTGAGGTGACAAGATGCAAATGAAATTGCAAGCAAAATGGTAAATTTTCTGAACAAAAGAGTTTTTTGCTTAGGAACAGGGGCTTGCAGGGAAGCATGGGGCAGAGCCGGAGCTGGAGCTTCACCAGCAGCATCCCAAGGGCTTACAGAGGCTTGCCCTGTGTGCTGAGGGACAGCGCAGAGCCCAGCAGAGCAGCATGAGGGAGCCTGGCTGAGAGACATCCCTGCTGCTCTAAGAGACTCCCAGATTTGTTCATTAAAAGCAGTAAAGCAAGTACCACTGTAACCACTCTTGGCCCATCGCCTTCAGTAAAAGGCATCAGGGAGAGGTGGTTTCTGTATTTCTGCCCAGTTCCCAAGGGTGGCACTGGAAGCCGGAGATGGGCAACCCTTTTTGTACTCGGAGGCAGCAATGCACAAAGAATCCAAGAGTCCTGAGGGGCTGGAGCACGCTGCGAGCGTGCCGGCAGACCGGGTGATCCACGGTGCTGGTGGGTCAGTGCAAGAAGCTGAGGAGGTCCCCATGCCCTCACCTTCCCTTGCCTTGCAGGGGAGTCCGGAGAGGTGTGCTACGGCCGCCTGAAGCTGCCAGGGAAGAGGGAGATTCCCGTGGCCATCAAGGCACTGAAAGCAGGCTACACGGAGAAGCAGAGACGGGACTTCCTGAGCGAAGCCAGCATCATGGCACAGTTTGACCACCCCAACGTCATCCACCTGGAGGGGGTGGTGACCAGGAGTATGTGGCTGGTGGGGTCGGGACCCTATGGTGGGGCAGAGCTGGGACGTATCTCCCTGTGGGCTCCCTGGGAGATGGGGGTCAGGGATCACTTTGGGTGCACTCCCTCCCTCGGCTGCCCTGGTTGCTCGCTTGTCAGATGTCCATTTACCCAGAGTCCCCTCCATCCCACCCCCTTGCCTTCTCTTACAGGACAAACTTTCCATGTGGCAGTTCCCCACCTTGCTCCACAGTGTGCCCCAGGTCAGGGTTATTGGTTTAGCAGATGTCCTACCCATTAGCGTTTATTTTAAAGGCTGCCTGTATTGAATCATAATTTGAAGTCTTCCTTCAAAAAGGCACATTCTGATGCAAAGAGTTATGCTAATAGAATGCAA